AAATATCCTGGAAAACTAGAACTACAGAATGAGGAAGGAAAGTTTTACCAACAACAGGTGGCTATAGCAACACAGGTTCAAAAGTTATGCAGAAATATCCCTTACCTTTTTCTCTTCAGTCCGGATTCAGCAGAGCTGGTGCAGAAAAAGTATTTCAAAAGTAAAATGCGTTTAAGTCCTATAGCAAAGATTCCCAGTGTTTTCAGCAACTGAAGTTTCTCATCAGAAAGACTATTGCACTGCCTATTCTGCTGCTTTGCTGTGATAATGTATTCCTATTCTTTCAGTCAACAACAGTAAAGTGATGCCACAGGAAATCACTCCGTCCTGAAGCAGATTAAAAATGGAGAAGTCAAGACATGAACAAACAGGGTGGAGCCCAGTCCACTCTTCTCATGCCAAAACAGTGTCAATTAAAGATTTATTTTTTTATTCTCCTGACTTCAGAGATCCACCCAGTGTCAGAAAGTGGTATTGAAGTCCCAGAACAACCTGTCACTCTACACAACACTCTAAGGTAGCACTAAATTTTTAATCTCTGAAAAAAAAGTTTTGACAAGCTGGGGGCGGGTGTGTGTGGGGGTGTGTGTGGAAGCACCTTCTTCATCTGTGAAAGGAATCTGCATTTATGTCTTATTTATGCCTTTCTCATAACAAGCATAAACAAAACTTGGTGCTCTGCTTTTCAAGATACTAAATTCTTCCGTTCTGTGAACTCTAGGACATCACTATAACAACAGGAGGTTATCTCCCAGCTGCCAAGTCTTGCAAGTAATTTATTTTTTCTTGATGACATGGACATTTGATAATATGGCTGGAGAAATGAGAATGACTAGGATTCAAACAAAATCTACTCAGAAGAAATCTCAATAAATAAATAAAAAGTGAACATTTTTAACATCCATAATTATTTTAGTAGAATGGCTCATGACTTTTAAAAAATGTATTTTGCAGACTTTTGTCTTGAGACTTTACCATTCTGCTTTTATGTTAATTATTTGAGACTTCCACATGTAAATATGTCCAACTATCTGGAATTCATCTTATATGTTTAATTTCTCTTATGTTGGATATTGATTTAGGTGTCAGCCTTAGGCATGCTGGAGCTGGTTTTTTTTCCCTTCCCCTAAAGACTCAAACCTAAAAGAACATTTGTCAAAGACTGTGAAAATAAGAAACTCAAGAACTCTTCCAGAGTCAGAATGCCACACAGAGAGCTTCTGAATTAGTTTTTTTTTTTTCCTGAAAACTGATCTTACAGTTTTATTAGGAAAGGCTCACATGCAAATATAACTAGTAATTTAAAAATTTCTGTACAATAGTCAGGGCACTAGTAGCTGCTGGCTGACATGAGGTACTGAAACTTTTGCAGAAATGGCTCATGGCATGATGTTCAAGAATTGTCTTAGGACATTTGCATATATACAGTCAATTTGAGCCTATTTATGTCACTCCCTACTAAGTAACACAAGGAGATTTCTGCAATGTATTGCCCCTCTGAAGTCACTTTACATCAGGGGAATTGAAACAACCAGCAAGGAAACTTTCCTTTCTGCATTAAATAAGAGAGAAGATTTTGATTATATATTTATACTGCTAAATGAGGGGGGAAAAAAAATAGCAGCTGCGTGCAGCTGAAACACTGACCTCTCAGTAACTGACACTGTTTAACTGTAAGGCTACTCTCCAGATGCATTTGGACTGCTCTGAGGAGACGATTCCAGGAAGTCCCTAGAGAGTGGGCTAGTCCTAAGCACCAGCTGGTCTTGAAGGATTGAATCTAAGTCCACCAATTTAGCAGAACAGGCAAAGTCAATTATCAACCCTCTGTGCTTTTGTGACTACCAACCCCTTCAACTTGTTTCCTTGCCAATTTAAGGGTCCTGAGCTTTCCTGAAAATAGTGTAAAGAAAGTTGTTTGGAGTTGGACAAAACATTTAAAATTCTTTAATTTTCTGACATATTCATAGTTCACATTACATTTTAAAATAACAGTGAAATGCTGCAAGAAAAGCTGAGAAATTGTCCTGGCACTGAGGGTCATGTCACACCTATTTATCTTATCAGTTTAATTCTCCAGGCCTGCAGTCCCAACACTTCACAGCTACTAACTGAGAAGTAATATGCATACTCCTTTTTTGTAATATCACTTTTATAAGCCATTCATTTTTTAAAGTCTGGCTCCCTTGTTGGAATGTTTAATAGTATAAATAATCAGGCAACCTGGTGGCACAGTCCAATGGGACGTGTTTTTCAGCTGGTGTGAAAAGATATCAAATGGAAAAAAAAACCCAAAATAAAACCTAAACAAAAGAAATAACAAAAAGTCACTGCAGCTGTTTTTTTTTTTTTTTTAAATTTAAAAAAAACCCAAAAGAAAACCTAAACAAAAGAAATAACAAAAAGTCCCTGCAGCTGTTTTTTTTTTTTTTTAAATTTTAAAAAACCCCACCTTGATACTCTGGTTCTAGGATATCCCCTAATTTTTGCTGTTCCCCACCCTGTTGCAGCCCTTTTTTAAAAGGGAAAACTCTGCATATTTCCAACTAGCACAGACACATTTTCCAACAAAAACTCCTGTCAACAGCCAAGACTCTTGATATTCTGTCCTTAACCCTGTACCATTACATCGTGGCCCTGCCTGTGGAGATTGCCATGGTTCCCTGCTGTCATAGAACGCTTAGTACCCTTTCATGACACCAGAGATTTTCTCCTAGAGAAGCCAGACATAATCCCTCTTTTAGATGGCTCCCTATGGCTCCACAGGCCATCCAAGAGTCATAGAATGGCTTGCATTGGAAGTGACCTTAAAGACCATCTACTTCAAACCAGCCTACCATGGGCAGAGACACTTTCCACTAGATCAGGTTGCCCAGAGCCCCCTCCAACCTGGCCTTGAACGCTTCCAGGGATGAGGCACCCATGAATTTCCTGGGCAACCTGTTCCAGTGTCTCTCCATCCTCATAGTAAAGAATTTCTTCCTAGTATTGCTACTCTCTTTTAGTTTTAAAGCCATTCCCCCTTTTCCTATCATTACACACCCTTGTAAAAAGTCCCTCTCCAGCTCTTTTGTCAGCCCCTTTAGGTACTAGAAGGTGCTAAAAGGTGTCCCTGTACCTTCTCTTCTCCAGGCTGAACTGCCACAACTCTCTCAGCCTGTCTTCATGGGAGACGTGCTCCAGCCCTCTGATGCAGCTCCAGGATGTGATGTCTGTACTTCTACCAAAGGAGTGGAAACTTATGATTGCTCTCCAATACAAACTGCTGTCCTGATTAGCCCTTCTGTACTTGCACAAGAGCCATTGGCTTTCCTTAGCCATCTGTGTTACACCGATTCCTGATATACCTTTGGGGCTATGCACAGTTGTGGATAACTTTAAAGCAGTTCAGCTTCTTAACACCCTCTTGCACTCCTACGCAAGTGCCTTGCTGCTATGCTGAAGCTCTTCTGCAAGCATTAGTACTGCCTGCTCCTAGCAATAGTAAAATATTAAACTCATGGTTTTCCTTATGATGATACCAAACAAGAAATGGCCTTAATTGATCAATCACCAAGGACAGTGGGCCTTTCTGGCTGGCACTCTCCCGTAAATGCTCTCATCAGCCTTTCTATACAGCAGTCACCATTTGCTTATCTTTCAGAGTCGTTTTGCAGGACTCAGCCCTAGGAGATGAAAACATTGCCTGGCTGTGCCAGGAGTGCCAGTTACACCTTGAGTCCTCATGGCTGTCCCCAGATGACCACCTTGTTGCACCTCAGCTTCTCCTCACTTTGCTGGTGTGACTCAGCTGGTGGCTCATTCTGGCAAGGGGGTGTGATTGCATCAGTAAAACAAGCTTGGTTTGCCCCAAATTTTCTCTATGTCCACAGCAATACTTCAGCACTTGTCCAATTTGTTTGGTCCATAACATCAGATGAAGGGTCAAAACCGAAGATGCAGCACACCTAGATAGATGGGTTTCCTTTGTGAATTTGCAAGTGGATTTTATGCAGATGTCCAAACAATGTAACCACAAATACACTTATTTAATCATAAACTTTTTCTCAGGATGGGTAGAGGTCTGTCCATGTAGAAATGCTGATGCTGCTACTGTCACTAAGAAACTTTTCAGACAATGCATCATTTTGGAATACTCATTGTACCACAGTGACAGGGAGACTCATTTCCCAGGACTGGTTGTCCAGAGGATCTGTCAAGCCCTAGGAACCCAAGGGCATTTACACTTTGAAGCGGCTGAAAGGAAGAAATCTGTTTAAGAATTATACTGGCCACTTTGTGAATAAACTAGCCTAAAAGGGACAAATGCTTTCCATTTGGCCCTAATATACATCAAGATCACTGTGAATAAAAACACACACTATGTCCACGGGAAATTGCAACAGGTAAGCCCATAAGGTTACTGCATAGCTCACCTAATCCACCACATAGATCCAAGCTACAGGTGAGCTCTAATAGTGGCAAGACTATTCACTCACAGGTTGAAAAAAATATCTTTCCAGAACTTGCCTCTGAATGTACTACCATTGTGGACCACAGACCTGAGTCTACACCAAAGTGACACACACGACTCAAGATCAAGAGCATCAGATCCATAAACACGCTCTGCCCTCAAACAGTTGAAAATTTTTGTATCTTTGAATAAACTATTAAAATGCCTTTCTTCAGTTGGCCTACCATTATGCTAAAGACTTAAATATTTCAAAATGCTGGGTGTGTTCCAATATCCCTCTTCACTCTAGTGAAGATGTCATCATGCTTCCCATAGCATGTAATTTGTCAGTAAAACAACCCATCTGGAAAACCCTGAAGGCAGAGATTCCTTGTCCAAGATCACAGATGGGAACTGATCCAAATAGAGATATGCATGAAGCTCCAACTCCTGCCTATCACCTGGGATTAGTTGAACCCGGGAACACTTGTTATTTAAAAGCAAATGCAACATGCCACATGGGATAGAGTAATTCTCAAAACTGCAGGACATGACAGGATATTGCTTCTATATGTTTCTACAGTGTTTTTAACAAAAAGGAAGGTATTGTACCTTCCATACATAGATGACAATGCAACAGTATAATTTCAGAAAAAAATCTCAGGAAATTATTGTGAAGTTTATTTCTTCACTTCTTTCTCCTTCCAGCATTCTCTGTGGAACCAAATCCACTGCAGTATTTACCTGTCAAATAGAAAAGTTACAATTGCTTATATTATTTTGAATCATGCTAATTTGAGCTTTTAGTTTCAGACTTTATGTTTTGAGGAACATCTGAGGTATTTAAAAATAATTGAGGAAAATACCAAAATAGAGGAAAGTACTGCAAGTAATCTACTCTGTATGTACTTGCAATCTATCCAAGCATAAAAAATTACCACAGACACTTGGTCTGTTAAATATCTTTAACTTGGCTGTAGCATCTGCATACTATAACTAACACTATAAATAACTATGATCAATCCTGTCTGTACACAATTTGAAGAACTGAACATGCCATCAAAGGGCAAAAATAAAGCATTACACTCACCACAGTCTTTGGGGTTAATTATGGGTTAGGTGTCCAATACAAGTTCAAACTCAACAGAAAAAGCCTACAGTCTTCTTTGCGCTAAAGAGGCCATGAGTTCTATGGTTCAGTTTCTGACCTTGCTTGCTTACCTCTCTTCAACACGTTGCTCACTTCTAGGAGTTCTTGCTCAAAGGCTTGTGTAGGGTTTCAAGGAGCAACGCAGGATCCTCAGTTGAAAACCTCTGAGGATACAGGAAAGGGTGCTGAGGTTCCTGAGAAGAAAGTTCCATTCTTTTTAGCAACATCTAGCAGGAGGGAGTTAATTGCTACTTGAGTGTGTTTCATCTGAAGTTATCTGCAGTGATTATTTTATGTTCCTAAAAATAAAGTCTCTTGCAAAAGAAAAAAGCTTCTTCCTATCTTTTGGGAAGACAGAACTCTTAGAATCAGCTCTTCCATCAGACTATTAGTACCTGAGGTGAAAACCTAAAATCACACTTTGACATCTTCCAGATTTTAAAAAAGTCTTTTTTAGTAACTGATAGGTATTGAATAATTGCAGTCATAAAAAGGAGATTTTTCTCATCACTAAATGCATGTCTGAGAACGTAACAATGTGACTGTATTTTACTATTAATTCACCATAAATACCAACATAAAAATTCCAGACTACTTTTTTATTTAAAAAGCTTTTATAAATAGTCTTCTGTAAAATATCTCATTTTAGTCTCTTATATAAATATCTCATACTTTTACCTCATCCAAGGTAAGACTCTTTTAGATATTTAATATAATTTGCTCAGCTATATCTCTTGGTAAGATATTAATTAATTTTAAGCATGTCACAAGGCAAGTATTTAATTTTATCACTATGCAGCTCTGCCTGCTATTTGAATGCGATTCTTTGTTCTTTTTTCAATCTTACTGTTTCCTCAACTTTTTATTCTTTTTACTTTCATATGTATTTTGAAGGCATTGTGTTCAAGACAGTGTGTTCAGACTATGTTCAGTAAGAACTTACCTACACTTAGTGCTTATTTTGAAGTTGGATGTTCCTAATTGGAATGAAACGGCTTTCTTCTTTGGAAGATTTCACACAGCTTTCTGTTAAAAAACAAAACAAAACAAAACAAACAAAAACAAAAAACAAAAACAAAACAAAAGAACAAAAAAACCCAAAAAAACCCCCAAAAAAACAAAAACAAAAAACAAAAAAACAAAAAAAAAAAAAAAAAAAAAACCCCAACCAAACAAACAAACAAAAAATCCGAGAAAATCCAGAAGAAATTAGTTAAGAAACAGAACAACAAAATTATGTCAAATTGTGCAACAGTATCAAATTGTGGATTAACTGGACATTGTGTCAGCTGGCACAAGCAGAACACAGGAAAAACCACAAAACTGTGGAAGAAATGCAAAGAATATATTTATCTTTGTTACCTTACCAACAAGGGGATCTACCCTGAACCTATGATAGTAATTGACACTTGCAAAGCAAGAAGAGCAAAAATAATTTTAGCCTAATCCAAATATTATAGTACCAAAATATACTGAATGTCTTTTATATCCTGAAATCTGGCCAAGTTATTGTAACTCAAACTGTGCTTCTGTAAAAACAAAATTCACTTTACTTTTTGTCATTGAAGTTAATTTACATGGTAAACACGTTACTAATTTCCTGCCTCAAACTTTGAAAAAAGCCAAATTCTGTGCTCATGTACTAAAATATACAGTCTTCTGTATTTTAAATTATTCTATTTGTCCTTTACTGAAAATATACCCACTATTTAATAAATTTTTTTCCTCCAGCAGCAATATAATCTGTTTCACAGGCATGAAATCAAATGCAGCTAAAATAAAATGTCTTCATTTTTTCTCTTAAGTTTACACATTGCAATGAAACCTCAAAAAAAATTCTTTATCTATTACTTGTGCCATAAGCAAGGAAGTTTCTACATGTTTTCTATTCGAATGGCAGCTTCCTTGCGGTTTTCAAATGTTTATGGCCTTTGTTCAAATGTGTAGGTAGCAAAATCATCAGAAAAACACATTCTTTTTACATATGCCCTTTTATTCCCTTTACAGAAAAGAATTTAACACTGTCAATTTCTCTATTTATTAACTGTGGTGAATCTGCTTCTTTCTGAAAATTTAAAATTACTCATGTGATAACCCTAGATGATAGCAAAAAGCTAGGAATATCAGATGACTGAAATGAAAGAAGGGACATATGATACCATAGGATATACAAAACCACTGCAAGATTCTCAGGGTATTCTTTTACAGATGGTTAAGTACAGATGGTTAAGTTTTCCCTTAGACAGAAATTTATAATACAGATCATATAGTATTTTTGAATAAATTCAGCACACTTGTTGGATGAACAGTAAGCAAACATACGATAAAAATCAACAGAGTGGGTATAGCCATGTCAGGGTAATTTCCCATAAAAGAGCGGAAAAGTTTTACCAATACTTTACAGTTCTATAATAAACGTTTTCCTTTCCTGTCTAAAAGCTACTGATACTAATTTCCTACTGGTGTATGAAAACACTTAGAAATGAAGGTAACTGTTCAAATGCAACTGGAATCAGATATATGCAAAGCTCTGGGATGTCTAAGTAAGGACGTGTGCTGGGAGGGAAATTCCTGCAGCTTACATGTAGTGATACTGAAACTGCTTTGTAACTATGGTGGATTAGATTTCAGACATGGACATAGGCACCTAGCAATGTTTACAAACCTGCTTCACCTCCAGCTGCTACTTGAGAAAGTTTTCAGTATGACCTATGTAATATTTGCATGTTTTTAGTACTGGGGGATATGAAAAATAACGTAAGCCTGATTCCTAGAGACACCAACAATTTGAATAGAAGTACTGACACACACAGCATACTAATGTAGAATGATGTATATGTGGGCTGGGGAGGGGGAGTGAAAAAGCAAGCCTTTAACTTGCTTTCCTGTAAACACCTTCAAAGAATGCACATTGTTTTAAACAGAAAAATAATTGAGAAAGTGAGGATATGATAGACACCTTCCATTACTCTATCCTGTTTTGTATGAGGTCACTGCAATGGAATCTGTTTTGAGTCATAGAGTTTGTACTGTTAGATCAAAAAAAGAGGGCGAAAAGTGTTTTGAGCAAGGAAAAGTAAGCTTGTTTGGCACAATATTTTGGACTTTACAAAGCATATGCGTTAACCACTCCCTCTATTCTTGTTGAATTTAAACAAAGTCTAGAGAGGAAGGCAAGGGAAAATAAACAGCAACATGATACTGAGTTTTATTTTGGTGCTTGTGATTTCATAGCACGTTACTCACAAAAAAATAATCTACAAAACATCTTAATAATTCACTCTCAGGAAAAGCATGAAGACACAGCCATCTTTCTCCAAGTTTGAAAACCATGGCAAATCTGCAAAGGCATTTAGAATGCATAATTCAAAGGTATCTCTCAGGTTTCCCATTTTTAAGGTCAGGGTTTCTGAATTTTGAGGAAACACTAATCTGACTTAGAAAGGCTTTATTTAAAATGAGTTTTTTCCTTCACAAGCAAGTCATCACTGCTCTCCAGCCAGCAGTCTTGGTAGGATATTACATCCCTTAACAACCAACTAGCTAGCAACAGAATGCTACTTAATAGATGTGAAAATAAAACAAATGATTGAAAGTGTTTATGCAGTTGTTTTACACACTCTGATGCTCACTTGTATCTCTGAAGGCATTAGGGCATTGAACTTCTAGGCAATTACAGGTCTGGAAAGCTTTGCAGAAACCTCCTTCTTAAAGATTTTAACATTAGTTTAGCTACTAGGAGGGTTCTGGGGGTTAACACCCGCTGCTTTCCCTTCCTTAGCAGCCTGTGCACTGTTTGGGGAGAGCAGCAGGGCACAGGCCGCACTGAGAGAGAAATGGCACCCAGCATCCCCAATGAGCACCCAGGAGGCCCAAGCCCCCGCGGCCTGGACGGTGCTAAAGGGAGCTGCCACTGATCATCCCGCGCCGAAGGGCAGGGGCAGGCGCAGGGGCACGGCACAGGGGCACGGCAGCCCGCCGCCATGCCACTGCCCCGTACCCACACAGCGCCGTGCCCTCCGATAAAATGGCGGCCTCCTTCCTCCCCTCCCCTGCCAACATGGAGGGTCGCGCGCCCATTGGCGTTCGCTGCCCGCCGCCGCCGCGCGATAGGCTGAGGCGCCGGCTTCCTCCGGCCGTGCTTTGCACGGTCTGACCCCGAGTGAGGAACTACATTACCCAGGATACCCCGCAATTAGGGGCGTTGCTCCGAGCCGTTACTTTTCTTGCGCATCGCGGCTCTGTCTCCTCCCAGGCGGGAGGGACGGGGCGTGGTCTCGCGAGAGTCCGCGCGGGCCAGCGGAGCGGGCGCAGGGTGCGCTGAGACCGTTGTCGTGGGCCCATGGCGGCCGCGGAGGCGGCGGCCGCGCCCGACCCCAGCGGGCTCTCCCCGAAGGAGGAAGGGGAGCTGGAGGATGGCGAGATCAGCGACGATGACAACAACGGCTTCGGGCCCTATGGCGGCGGCTCCGAGCGTGCTGGCGGCCTCGGTAGCGGCGGTAGCAGCAGCAGCAGTAGCAGGCCGTACTCGAGGCGCCGGCCGCCCCCCGGGCTCCACGGGAGCGGCTCCATGTCCTCCCCTGGGCGGCCCTTCCCGCGCTCGCGGCACCAGCCTCCTCCCGACACGGGACACGTGCACGGCCACGGCGGGTACCGGCCTAAGGACTCATTCCGCTCCCACCCGCCGGCGCCGCGGATGCCGCCGGGCTCGCACTCCGACACGGGCCCCCGGCTCTCCTTCTGGGAGCGCAGCCACAACGCCCTGGATCGGTTCCGCTTCCGAGGCCGGCCCTACCGGGGAGGTGGGCGCTGGGGCCGGAGCCGAGGCTGCAGCGATCGGCCGGGCAACCCTCCGGGAAGACCGCCCGGAGGGGGAGGCGGCGCCGGGTTCAGTAGCAGCCAGGGCTGGAGGGAGCCCTCGCCTCGAAAATGTATCCTTGAGTCGTCCGCGGGGCGGGGGGCCCGGGCTGCTGCGGTGGGCCTGGGTGTGGCCGTGCCGCGCTGCGTGGCCGAAAGCCGTGGGGAGGGACGCGTTTCCCTCCCGCTCTGGCAGTGGGATTCCCGCAGAGGTAGCGGAGAGGGAGGCTCCCAAGCTAATCCTGGGGCTTGGTCGGGACAGCCGGCCCTGCTTAAGGAGAGGCTGCTGGGAAGTCGGATTACTGCCGTCGCCTGGCTTACGGCTTGGCCGATCCGTCGGGTGCAGGGAAAAAGGAAAAGCATAGCCTGAAAGGAAGCTTTTGTCGGTTGGATTCCGGGCGGCTGCGTTTCTAGCCCCAAGTGCGAATATTGTCAAGTGGGGTCAGTCTTTGGTGCGGCAGTTTTAATATGTGTAATTAGTGTCACAACTGTGAAGCTAAAATCCTAGCCTTGTTAATTTACTGTATTGGGAAGGATCTACTATTTTTTTTTTCATTTTCACTTTCATCCCTTCAGAGGCTATTACAGCTAGGTTTAGCTGTAGTTAGTTTTAGCTAAGCTGGGGTGGATCTGCACGCACAAACTGTAGTTTGTATAGGCATTCAGATGAAAGCTGTACCCACCATTTTTTGTAGGATGTTCTCCACTGATTGCTCTTAAGAGTTTAGGTGACTCATTACAAGAGTTCTGATATTTGGCCTTTTTAGGAGCCGGAATTGTGAAAGTGGTGGGAAAAGCTTCCCTAATTTTTCTTGTTTGCTGTGAGAAGTAACGTAAAGAACTGATGCTGAGTGTAGCTTGAGGAGACACTAATCTGACTTGGAAAGTCAGATTTAGCTTGGGGCAGCCTGGTTACTTGACATAACTGCATTGTTGCCTAACTGCAAATGTAGATGAGTGTAAAAAGCAGTGAGCAAGAGAGATGGTGGTTAAATCCTGTTGTCCAGAATTTTACAGTGTTCTATTGTCCTTCATATCAATAGTCAAAGGATGTGTTTTTGCTAGAACCACTTGCGTGGGTTGATTTTTTTTGGTCTCTTGGATCTTCTATTATTTATGTCATTAGTATTTCTTAATTTGTTTAAATGTAGATGGAATATGTAAATTAGCAAGATGCTTATATTTAGTCTTCAGTTACAGCATTATTGAAGGCTTCATTGGAGCCTTTCATTCAAGGGTTTTATCTTGAGAGGCAGCAAGTGAAGATGGAATTTGCCCAAGGTTTCACAGTAAGACAATTCTAATGCTGAAAATAGTTTTCAAGTCTCTTTGCAATGTTGCCCTGAGTACCTGAAAGTGGTTGCTTTCTGTGTAAGGAGTCATTTGCTGGGCAGATGTGGAGATAGTCCTGAACAGAACTTGCAATGTTTCTTAATGAGATTGATGCACTCTTCTTCTCTCTTTTAATTAAAAGAGCATTCAGAACGACTAATTCCATTTTCAAACCAAGAGTAGAAAATGAGGATGTTGAGAGTGTTCTTATTCCTGGCACTTAAGATTTATGCATCTGTTGAAACATGGTAGATGGAGGATGTTCTATTACTCTTGCTCTTTAGTAAGTGAACATTCAGTTGTTTATGGATCATGTAATTAAGGAAGGTCCATGATTTTCCCTCAATATGAGTTACTTTCTGTTTTTTTTTAACATCCTTGCTGCCAAATACAGGCAACATTAGAGAATTAATAAATACTAAGGTACCTCCATGTTGCTAACATTAATGGAGTGCCAGTGTAGTTCATTAGCATGTGACTGCAGAGGAGACTTCAGTATCGACTGGTACAGGGAGGCTTGTGGCCTGGAATGGTATCTGAAGTTCCCCCTGGAAAAGAAAATGTTTTAAGTGTCTTGAGTCCTAATCTTGGCTTCTTCTTAGTAGCCTGTACAGTGCTGTGTTTTGGGTCTAGTGTGAGAATAATGTTGGTAACACACTGGTGTTTTAGTTGTTGCTGAGAAGTGCCTACACTAAGTTATGGACTTCCAGCATCCCATGCTCTGCCAGTGAGGAGGTGGACAAGAAGCTGTGTGCAAAACTGAGACCCAAACTTGGCCAAAGTGGTTGCATACCACAGAATGTCATGCCCAGTGTATAAACTGTGGGGACCTGGCTGAGAGCCACTGATTGCTGCTTGGGACTGGTCATCTCTCAGGTGGTAGTGAGCAATTGTATTGTGTATCACCCTCCTTCCTTGGGCATTATTCCACTCTCTTTTTGTTATCTCCTTTTTCATTATTATTATTGTTTTACTTGATTTACTTGTTATTAAACTGTTGTTTTTTCAGCCCGCGTTCCCTCAACCCACATTACCTTTTTCCAAGTTCTTTCCCCATCCCACCATGGGAGGGAGGAGTGAGAGTATGGGGTAATAAGTTGCTGACCAGGGGTTAACCTTGACAGTTTGGTGAGACAGGGATTGTTTACTTGATTTATCCTTGGAACTTGTGTTTTGCACCACGTTTTGTAGGAATATATTTGTAAGTGGAGTAAGGGACGTTCCTTAAGGTAGAACAGTTAAAGAATTCCAGTTACATTTTTTGATATGTTAACTTTTATTACGCTTTTCTCTTTCATTTCTTGGCAACTTGAAGCTGTTATATAGTAATTCTCCAGGAATTCTTGCATAGAGAATTGTGGAATTTGAATCTGAAATACAGAACCATTATGGAACTTGCTGTTTCCGTTGAATTCGGAGCTTTTCACAGTGTACATTTCTCTTCAGTTTTAACTCGCAATTTCTTCTTTTTGGTTCTTGGATGAAGTTTCTCTTGAGTTGGTTGAAGCACAGTTATTTTAATATGTACATGCTTGTCTGCCTTTCACAGCACTTCATGGAGTCTTGCATTCTATGCGTAGAAGCACTAAAAAAAAAGTTTCTGCATGTGTGAACTGCAGAATTTCTGCTGGGAGTTTCTAGCAATTGCATTATCCTGAGCACAAAAAACATCTGGGAACTGTCTTGTTGTTCATCTCCAGATGATTTTGGAACCTATTTAAGTATTCCAATAGGAAATAGCAGTTAGGCTTATTAGTTTCAAAATTCCTTGTGACTTACTAAATTACGAATGTAGCTGGCTCTTTGGAAGTAGATATGTGTTGGAAGGGAATTTAGCAGATATGCTTATTGCATAATTTGGTGTTATACTGCATACAGCTTTTAGCATTTCAAACATATTTATAGACTGTTTGATTGCTTTTTGGATTTTATGTCGTTTATCTTTGCTGGTTTCTGCTTTTTGTGCTGACACTTGAGAAAGCACTGTATAGCAAAACATTTCCTGGCATTACGGAAGTAGCTTTTGTGGGATACTTACAGAGATTGTTCATACTAATGTTAGAACTTAACATAGCAAAACATCCAAGTAGTCGATGCTTGTTGTGAGCAGAAGACAAATATGTTGTCCTTTGGAGTCTGCATTCAGAGGACACCTATTTTAGCTTCTGGTTTTACTCTGTTTATTGTTTTAAGAGATGATGTTGTTGAAAAAGTATTTTGTGTAACTGGGTGTGTGAGTCAGCTGTTATCACAGTTGGGTTGATACTGCGAGTCAAATGAGTAAAACCTGACTTGGTATCCTGAGATTTCCCCTTGAGCATGATTGTTTTACATGATCATTTTCGAGGATCAGGTTAAGGTAAGGGGAGTTGATAGTGACTTAATAGTGACAACTTTTGTTCTGGGCAGAGGTGCCTAGGAATATTTCCACTGTTTGCCTTGAACATTCATAGGTAAACTTTTCTGAGTAATTAGTAATTTCCAGTTGTCTTCAGCATTTCTGAATGTTTTGATTGCAAGTCTTTGTTACTTTTTTTTATTCCCTTCAGTTGTTCATTGATTCTTCTGTGCCTCAGCTCATTTGCTGAACTGCATTTACTGCAGTGTGTAATTGTGCTATGGCCAGACTTAGTATTGGCTAGATGTGGCATTTTATGAAAGTCTAAAATGAGTAAAAAAGAATTTAACCTGTCTTTTTCAGAATGTCAGATGCCAAGTCAGTACTGGAGGTACGATTTCTGGAAGTTTGACTTTCCATGAGAACCATCTCAGCATTATAGCTGTTGTTTCCAGGAGGGTGGTGTGAGTAGGAGATGAGACTTCTCAGCAATTCATTACCTTCTTGTCATAAGTAGGATATTTGAAATAGTTGGTTTGAGAAAATGTTTGTCAATATGTAAAACAGCTGCAGCTTTTGTATGCTGTTTGTATTTATTCAGGATATTTTTCAAAGTAGCCTTAAGGTAAAATATATGAGAATGGTCACATTTGTCTTAATTGGTCTTCAGTGGTAATATCGTTACTGTTTTATGATGATACAAGTTCTTGTCTTTAATTTCTTGACCTGTAATTCAGCTAAAACTTTTGGAAG